TCTTGATATCGACACTTAAGTATAATTAGTTTCCACTGGCAGAAGTCCTGAATTCCAGATCCTTAGCGCATCATTGATGAGAACCCAACTATGTCGAGATGGCACCTTTGGGTCTCATCAACTAGTTCCTGCCGTTTCCCTCTGAGTTAGGATATAGTCGTTTCCAAATCTAAGCACTCTCGGCGTCGTTTCAGTGGATCCCTTTCTGGCGTGCTCTAATGGCATCGCGCTGTTTGTCTCCTCCATTCGGAACGGGTAGCTGTTCCGTTGCGGACTGGTATCTTCGCCGCCGTTTCGTCGATCTTCGGTAGCCGTTGTTGTGCTGTCAGAAGACGATGAGACCGGCTGCCAAAAGGCGATGAGAAGGTTGTGATTGCCGAGTTTTCGCAGCGTGCCTCAGTCCCTCCCTCAACGGCCTGCATGATTTCGACACGGTCTCCAACTCTCCTCTATTCTTATTTGGCCTTGTAACTGGCAACGATGAAGTTAGATTGCCACTTTTCGAAACGTTACGAGTTCGTTTTCTCACTCCATCAACTCCAGTATTTAGTGTCAGTGTTTAAAGAAAGTTAACGAGCTGGTATGTAATTAGTAAATTACATCGAAACGAGATTTTAATAGCATTTACTGAACTGCCGGAATCTAGTAGGGGGGTATAATATTTTTATATATTCATTGGGGCGTTGACAAAAGGCGAATTTGCTTAAGAAACAATTATTTATAGCAGTTGGTCATTATGACAAATGATCGATCGTCGCTAGACTTCGGTTCGACAGCTTCAGTTTACGCCAGCTTGCTTCTTTGTCAATGCCTGTAATTAATTAATAACGTCTTGGAAATTTTCATTTTCCATCAGCAACCATATGTCATCGGATTGAAGTTAACTATAAGTTCTAATTTGGTCGTTTTTAAGATTTTAGTTTTGTTTATACATTTTGGTTGTTTTTAATTAAGTTAATATAAATTCCTTTGGTGATCATTAGCTGATATATTAATGTCGCAGAATTGGTCCCCTAAGATACAAATTCGATGCTTTGTTTTCTTTGGAAAATCTGGCGTATATCAACGTAAAGGATGGCGAGGGGTATAAGAACGTCTTCAAGTTGCTCGTCTTTCCGGAGCAGCTGTACTTCAGTTGCGAAGACTCACTCACAAAAGTAATGTAGGTTTTAGTTTTAAATTCATTTTATTGAATCCGCTAGCGCCTTTTGTCATGTTTTAGAAAAAGTGGTCAGACAGCATCGAGCATGCCAAAAAACAGATGCTTCGCCAAGGGTCACTGATGCGTCAAGCGACGATAAGGATGAAAAACGAAAGAATTCGTCGATCGTTGCAGAAATCCACAGACGATCCAGGTATTGTTTTAACAAAGTTAAAGAACTGTTGTGATCGTGTAGATCATTAATGAATAGTATGCTGAAGCTTGGTTGATTCGCTACAGTTCGATTTTTAATGAATGCAGTCTTGAAGAAGTTATGCATTTTCTGACTTACTCCGACGTACTAAGATAGATTCATGTTTATACGGTGGCATATAGGTAGTATTTGTTCCTGAAACATCTTTCGTAAAAAGCACGAAGTGATTCTAGCGAGCAAAATGATGCGAGATGCATCTGGCACCGCTGATGCTCAAATGCCTTTGAGTCAAGGCCTGTTTAAATTTCCCCTCTAGGCAACTAGGATAAAGGGACGGTGCAGTGCGACATAAAATCTGGTCTTGAAAGAGTTATGTGTTGTTGAACTTTTAAATTTAACGCTGAATAAATGTTTCATGCAAATTTCATGCAAAAGTACCAGGATAGTTCACGAATTTTGATAAGTCGTTATTAAAGAAAAATTCAGCCCTTCCTTTTAGTGCTGGTACATTTCGTTCTGAACAGAACTTGTGAAAAAATACTGTTTGTAAAGTTATTCATTTCATTTATGTGTTATTGCCTGTGGCTTTGACCATCCAG